TATCAATTGATTGTATGACAAACTCTCTCCTATATGAAAGTTGTTAAAAAGTATTATTTCACGAGCATATGCTATTATGACTAGAAATGTGAATTTATGCTCTTGAATGTTTTACATAGTTTGGAAAATTAATTGACATGGATTAGTATAAGTTAGTTGGACCTTGGTTATTGAATGGTTGTATTCACCCTTACTATCTTCAATATTACAAGAATAACTCAAGAGAACTAGACAAAGGAAAGCAACCAAAGGCTTAGGACTGCGATCCTGTTTAGTAGGCCTCTTTGTTTTAAGTCTTTATGTGTACATGATAATTGAAATTGCCAACTAGGAATAATCCATTTTGGTTCTTACCTCTATTATGTGTTTGTGAGTTATAAGTGTATTTTAGGCCTTAGGGAGTGATTTTATGAAATTTGATATATGTGATAAGGTAAAATACTAGTGCAAGTAAGAATTAGGCATACTATGTGATGTTTATGATATATTTGAGGAAATAAATGATTAAACTCCCCCTTTTATATTTTTAAATTAAGGAGTTGAGTATTAAAATTGTGAATTATAATGTTTCTTATAATGTGATGCGTTACACAAGTTAGTTTTGGTGTATTATATGTGATCTAAGTGGTGTCAATGACTCTTGGCTTTTGGTGAATGAGTTGAACACTTAGTTTTGTAAAAAAAGTTAAAAAAGTGTAAGTTTTAAAAAGAGTATCTAAATTTTGAATGTGTAACAATTTCATTATGAAACCTAAGCCATTAGCTAGAACTCAAAAAAAGCTTCTCTTAGACACCTAATTCGTGTCAATCGAACATTGAATAGAGGTTTAGGGTGCGTCAGAAGTTGCCCCAAACACTGTTATGAAACATGCAATGTGCTGCAGCGCATGGTGTCACAAGCTGTGCCACATGGCACAGAGGTGAACAAGTCGTGGCACATGTTCAACGAGCCGTAGCGCACGTCCCAGTTTTTGTAAAACAACTTTGTTTCTTGATTCTTTAGCAAATGCACTAATATTTGAAATGGTCACATCCTTTCACATAGTTGTAAACTCTAATTTATCTATTTTAAAATCTTTGAAAATGATTTTAGTTTTGAAAACTTGAAATTCCAACTTTTCCACCTATTTTTGAACGTGGTATTATGTCATTTACCTTAAATCAATCTCTTTAATTATGGAGATTTGGAGTTAATCATGAATTAGAGAAGAAGGATATTACATTTAGACGCAGGATGGATTCAAATTGGGCAAGATTGGAATATGATGAAGTTAGGCTTGACATTAATGGCTCATGTAGAGATGGAATGTCAACTTATGGAGGGATCATCTGTGATCATAACACTAAATGGGTGGCTGATTTCAACTCTAACGTGGATAACCTACCTCCTGCTATCACTGAAATCATGGAAATCATTCAAGAACTGGAACTATGTTTCCAATTAGGCTATGCTAAAATTAGATTGCTCTCTGACCGTACTGAATCTATTAACTTGATCATGAGAGCTAATGTTTCTCAACATCCTTAGAGGGATGTCATTGAACATGCTCATTTTTCAGACTTTGGAACAGGATTAATTTACTTGCACTTTAATTGTAGGGAAGGGAATTTTTGTGCCAACTTCGTATTTAGGAATGCCCTTGATAGCTTTGGGGGATTTTAAATATTTTGAACATCCTCCCCCTACTGCTAGCAGATTGTAGAGGAGGAGAAGATAAAGTCTCATTTATTTGTAATGCACGGTTAATCTCTAATGATTATTGCATCTAAATTTCACTAAAAAAATAAGTTGAAGACTAGAAATTAAGTTTAACCTCTTAAGATGAAGCTCACAAGCATGTATGTAAGTTGAAGCAACAGAACAACTCGTTGGAAAAGTAGCCACCCTCTGTTGACTTATTGGTAACAGATTAAAAAGAGTACTTAATTCTTTATATGAATCTGGTAATTTAAAGCGTTGCTACTGGGTTTTTAGTCTTGTAAGAGAGAAGTTCCATAGAGCATTCTTTTTTCTTTTCTTTTTTTTTTTCAATTTTATCCATTTATATGAATTTTCTTTTCTTTTTTTTTTCTTTTGTTTTTTTTTGGCCAACGATAGTTTGGTTTTGGATATCCAAAACATCATGCTCAAATATCTTAATATATAGCATGCAGGAATTATTCCAATGTTACGGACGAAATTGACTATCAAAATGCGCAAAAAAAAAAAAAACTGCTGCTAACATCGTATAAAAGATTTTTTTTCCCTCTTATTTATAGGGTTAAAGGAAAATTTTTTTGTTCTATTTATGATTATTATCAAATTTTTATAATAATTTTTTCTTTTACCTTCCGTTAAATGTTGGAGAAAAAAAATATCTTAGTAAAGTATATATATTTAATAAAAGCAAAGTTAATAATTTATTAAATTTTTAGATAAAGCTAAATGAGTTGTAAAGTTTTTCTTAATTCTAGTAAAATATTTTAAAAATAATTTATAAATAGAATTAAGAGAGTATCACATAACACATATAGTAGATCACAAAAAGTTCAAAAAGACACTTTATAATTAGAAAGATGACAAATAAATCCCATCAAAATAGACAACTAATAAATAAGTACAATAAAATGTGATAATTACTTTAAAGTTTGAGAGAACTTGTCTAACATAAATTTTTTTATGAAATTATGTTTCTAATCCTAAGCAGAATAATAAAAAGTATTGTTAATAATTAAACTAAGTTGTTAATAACAAAGGTAAAGCTAATATAAGAAGTGTAATTGTTTCTTTAGTTATGCAACAAAAAGAACATCTTCTATATTAACAACTTTAATGTAGTGATTAATAAGTTCAATTTAAGTATTAACAATACAGTTTGTCATACTTTCAATTTAGTCACACAATAACAATTATGCTTCTTATATATTAATCACTTTACTTTTTTATCAACAACTTTAGTTTAGATTTTAACAACTATGCTTTTTATTATTTTGTAGAAGGTTAGAAATATAATTTTACAAAAATATTATGATAAATAAATCTTTAGGAACTCTAGAATAATCACCTCATTTCGTGATACTATTTTTTTCATTTGCCTATTCCTTGGAGATTTGTTTGTCATTTTTTCATAATTAGTGTTAATTGCAAAAAAAGAAAATCTAATAAATCTTGTTGGGTTGAGAAAAATCTCCAAATTAAATCCCAAGTGTTTCGTATACAAACCTCTGAATGTACCTATACTACGACGCAGTTCCGGTTGGCCAATGTGTTTTTGTTCTCTAACTAATTGGTGACTCCACCTAGCTCATCGTTGAGTTTTTGTCGGCCTCTGTGTGTGTGTGTGTGTGTGTGTGTGTGTGTGTGTGTGTCTGGCCCCCTTCCAATTCCTCACTTCAGTAAGAAACTTCACCCGCCAAACCACCAATTGGTCACCAGAGCTCTCTGTAACTCGCCGCAACACAATAAGGTTCACTTCATCACTCATTATCACTCCAAAATGGCTGTGTCTGCATTTGCTTCTCCTTTTAGTTTTGTCAGCCAAGGCTGCATTTTGTGGTGAACTTATCAAGTCTTTGCCAGGCTTTGACGGGAAATTACCATTCAAACTTCAAACAGGGTATACCATTTCACCGCTCTGTTTTTTCCGCTTATGTTTGAGTGTTGTTCATTATATTCTTTGTAATCTGGGTTTCAGATACGTGAGTGTGAATGATTTTGAGCTATTCTACTACTTCATTGAGTCCCAAGGAGACCCTGAAACAGACCCACTCATCTTCTGGTTTGGTGGACTCGTTTATGAAATTGGTAATAATTTCTCTCCTTTTTTATTCTCTTCCTCATTCCCCATTTTTCATGAACAAAGCGTAAATTTTGTGTGCAGGTCCACTACAGTTTGATATTGACAACTACAATGGTGGGTTGCCAAGATTACTCAGTTACCCATATGCTTGGACTGAGGTAACATAAGATTCCTTTTTTCTCATTATTATATGTATAATTAGGTTTGACATCACGCTTTAAACCAACACTTAACATAGTAAATATATACCTCTTCTTCAATTCAACTCTATCAATCTGAGGAATAATTTAGTAAAAGATAATTTGGGTTACATGTCATTTCAGACAGTCAGGTTTGTATTTGTGTATTCATTAATAGGCACTAGTTATTCTTATTCAGCTACTTCAAATTGGACAAGCTCTGACACTTTATCATCAGAAGAAGATTATCAGTTTGTGAGTAAGTTTGTGCCAAATAATCAATTGTTTATGGGAAAGTTAACTTTACCCTATACTTAATGAAGTGAAAGAGAACTCAGCGAATATAGAGGAAGTTACTGAAATAATTATATGCTTCAGTGGTTGGAAGAACATCCAAAGTACCTCCATCTTCGGTTGTTCATTGGAGGTGATTCTTACTCAGGCATGATCGTTCCATTAATTACCCAGAAAATTGTACAAGGTAAATACATTGTTCATTTTCATTTAAATATTCATATATTATCCAGCAATAATTTTTGTGACTTATGACATATGCTACTTCCGTGAGCATGGTCTACAGCAATCATTTGAATCTCACGGCACATCAGATTCACAACAAAATTAAATCTTAGAAATTAGTGTCATAAGTTTATTCTAAATGTTCAAATTATTCAGGAATATTTGGTTGGGAGCCCTATCACAGACATATATCTCAACAGTAACTCACTATTTATATTAGCTCATCGGCTGACACTTATATCGGACCAACTCGATGAGGTCATTCAGCAAAACACACGGGCTCTCTTCTCATTTGCTTATTATTTCGGTAACAGTGATATTTTTGTTTAAATAATCAACTTTAGAAACTGAAATCAAGTTGCAAGGAGGACTATGTGTATGTGGATCCAAACAACACAGCATGTCAAACTGCTGTCTCTCAATACGAGAAGGTGATAAATATTCAAACTAATTCCTTAATTTAATACAAACTAATAATATAAAACGAAAATTATTGATGATGCATTTTTATGGGATATTGTGTAGAACGTGCAAGAAATATGGAGCAACAACATATTGGCACCGAATCGTGCATTTGCGTCTCGTAATCCTTACGGGCAACGAAGACTTCAAAAGCCACATCAAAAAGTATCCTCAGATTTATGGTGTTGGGTAATTAAACTATTTTCCTTTTAATCGTCTTATTCTTGATTCTCTTTAACTAAAATTTACATTCATGTTATTTGCATTGATATCTTCTTTATACATATATTTTTATGAACAAATAGATAACATCGATTTTTTTGTTTAGGCTTTCAACTACATGCTATCATTCCATTGGGCAAATGATCCAAGCGTACAAGAAGCCTTGCATGTCAGAGAGGTACATATGACTACAAATACGCACATGCATGTACGCACGAGCACACACAACACACACACACACACACACACACACACACACACACACACACACACGTGCTCGCGCGTGCGCATTAGGGATGTGAATGGGAAGCTTTATTTTTAAGTTGGAATAATGTGATGAAGGGTAAAGTGAAGTACTGGGAACGTTGCAACCAAGCAACGTCAGAGTCATACATATATGACGTCGAAACTGTCGTCCACGTTCACCGATGGCTCAGTCGCAGGAAGTTACAGGTTCTGGTCAATGGTAATTTCTTTATTCCTCTATCTGCACCATCAATTATTTATATATGAAATTAATCTATATATAATATAGGAGGAATGACGTTAGAGGATCAAAAATTATTAAAATCGAAATAAGAACTAAATGACCCTTAGCAAATTAATTAGACGACTTAAAGTTTGGTACTCTTATTTCATGATTTGCAGATTCTCAAAGCAAAATTTTTAAGTGAGATTCAATTTGTAAAACAAAAACTTGTAAAATATATCATCATTATGAAAAAAAATTCATAAATTAATGAATCTTACTTTCAAGTTCATCTTAATTTTGAGAATTGCAAATATGGGTATCAGAGTAGAAAATTAATGATTGGAAGTCCACATAATATGTTTGACAAGTTTTTTATTATAAATTAGTGAATCGGACTTGCAAATTCTTGTTTTAATAGTTGCAATATTATGAAATGACAATACTAAATTTTTATACCAATTTGTAAAGAATCTTTAGTCTTTATTTTAATTTTTCAAATCTTTGACATTTATTTGAGTTTAATTCAATCTTTTCATCCTTTAATATAATGTCATCTCCTAATATAATTTAATTTAAAAAAAAGAAGAAGAAGAATATGTAAGATATGCTTTTTTTTTTTTTGCCCACAAAAATATGTTAGATATGAACGATACAACTTATCTTCGATTTTGTGCAAAATATGAACCTCGCAATCTTGTAATATAAATATATAAACATGTGCACAAGCTTAACTTCAAGTAAATTCAATTTTAAAAAAACCTTTAGTTACATATTAATTAATCTGCTTAGTTTAGTCTATAGATAATATATAAATTGAATGCAACCTTTCGTTCGCTATATTTAATTTAGGGATATTGACTTTTGAATTATTATGCAACTTGCTATAAATTTTATGATGCATATATATTAATATATGTAATTAATTGTTCATCAAAAAAGAAAAAACATATGTGATCAATTAGAATAATTTTCGCAATTTTTCTATAAATCGGAGACTTTACCGTTATGGTCTATAAATATAATTGAAACTGGAATTTCTTCCCCCATTGAGGCATTGAGTGACAATATGATTTTTATTTTCACGTCATTATTTTGCCTTTTGTTTTTTGCAGTGGAGACCGAGATCTTGTAGTTCCGTATGTGGCGACAGACACGTGGCTTAAAATATTAAACTTGACCTTTTCCTCTAAGCGGCGACCTTGGTATGTCGACGATCAAGTTGCTGGGTATGTCTGCATATAATCTCACAAATCTATTTTCATTCTTGTTGATTTTAATTAATTAATCTTCTCAACTCTGAAAATTTCTCTCTAAATTAACTAATCATTCCTTAATACCTAGATTTTTTTGTCTAGATATACCTGAAAATATGATGAGGAGGCGAATGGATTTCGACTAACAAATGCAACACTGAAGGTGATAAAAAAATCAAACTGTCTATTAGTATATATTCTTGTGATAAATAAAACAGCATTAATGTTTATTTTTAAAATTTGATACAGACATATATTTCTTACACAAGTACATTGTACTCAAGGTGCAGGTCACGCAGCTCCTGAGTATGCTCGCAAGGAATGTTATGAGATGTTTCGAAGGTGGCTCCATTTCTACCCTTTGTAACTCGTTTGGATTTTTCAGATTTTGTTTTCAATAAGGTAGATACTGAATTTGGATTTGGATTTAATATTTTAAATCTTACCTGTAGAATTAATGCATTCAAAATTCTTTATTTGGGTAGTTTTAAAAAAAAATTAATTATTTAATCCTTATAATTTTGACTTAATTATAACTTAGTTCCTAAACTTTTACCCCTTATGACTCAGTTCCTAAAGTTTTAACTCAATTTTCATTCAATTTCTGAATTTTGCGTCTCACAATTTAATTCCTATAGTTTCAACCACTTAAATATTAGTCCTTATATTTTAAAAAATAAAATTATAAAAATTAAAAATATGTTAAAATTTATTGTTAATATTGTAAATTGCTAAACCCTTTTAATCTTTATAAATATTAAAAATTTAAAATAATTTTAATATTTATAATTTTATTTTTAAAAATATAGAGATCAATATTTAATTAATTGTAAGAGACAAAATTTAGGAATTGAGTTTTGAGTTAAAATATCAAGAACTGAATTACAATGAGTCAAAGTTCAAGTGGATTATAATTAGATCAAAATTATAAAGACCAAATGATTAATTTTTTCTTTAAAAAGAAATTCAAAGGAAGAAGAGAGTTGAGTTGATATTCAAAATGAAAATGAAAAATCTGAACTAATGAGTTTACTTATATTTATCAATTAATGAAAGATAAAAAAAGATACGAGAGTCATAAAAATATCAATAATAAAAATACAAAAAGAACGAGATGTTTGAAATAATTAAAATTTTAAATTATTAGAGTATAAGAAAAATTTAAAATTAAAAAGAAAATGTAAAAAGAGATGGATGTAGATTTGATTCAAATTTAAATTCATAAAATTTGGTTTACCAAATGAGGAAATTGATCTAAATTTAAATACAAATCCAAATTCTTATTCATCCAAGCACACATAAAAGTTTTCAATTTAGACGTTGCAACAATCAGTATAATTCCGGTGCAAAACAAAAGTTAATAAAAAACAAATCGACTAGACTACGCCTATCTTCTAAAACAATAAAACCATTCCCATGCGACCAGTGGGAATTGCAATTGCACATCGAGAGCGTGCTGAGCTCATAATTCACAGGTTCCCAAATTGCAACTAGGCCTGACACCATGTTAGTTTACAAAAGCTACAAGCCCATTCATGAAAGAGGTCGGGCAATAAGCTGAGTAAATGATGAATGATAAATTAGATATCCTGACCAAATTAACAACATACACAAGGCCCAATTGCAAATTATACATATGGACATGTTATATCATGCATCTATCACTTTTGGATTTAGATTTGGCGAGTGTATTTAATTTAAGTATTTGAGTACTTATATTATTTAAACTATTAAAATTTATATTAATGGTTCTGAATTAATACTCCACTTGAGATTAATGAATGAGTAAGTTTATCTGAACCATTAATCTGGATTTCAACGACTCGGATTATCTAGGTACTCAGTGCCCGTACTACATACAGTGATCGAATCCAAATATGTCACTTTTATGTATCATCTCCGACTGCCATGGAATGATCTGCAAAGTGCTCCTCATCGTTTTCCACATCATTCCCTCTATAATCTCGTAACATTGGCATTGAAGTTCAAGACTAGAAATTAATTAAGCCGAACCTCTCAAGATGAAGATCACAAGCATGTAGGTTGAAGCAACAGGAACAATTCATCTCCAAACTAGCTAGCTGCCTTTATGCTGACTTGTTGGTGACAAGTGTCCCTTTCTCTTTTCTTTTCTTTTTTTTAAATATATGATTTGATAACGTAAAGCATTGCTTCTGAAGTAATTTTTAGTGTTATAGACCTCTTCAAATAAGGTTATAGGATATTTTTGGCCGACAATAGTATAGAATTGGATGTCCAGGACATCATACTTCAAATATATATCCGAGAAATCTTGGTGTGCCTGCCCGTCAAACTTAAAGTATCGTGCAACTAACACATAAGACGACGCCAAAAGTTTTGGCTTTTTCTTTGAATTTTGGTTGGCCTCTCTCTCTGTCTGTGCTCAGGTGTGTTCCATTCTTAAGGTTATGGCGATCCAATTCACTCACCAACTCAGAACTAATCGCAATGAGATTCACTTCACTAATCGCAACGCCAAAATGGCTGTGTCTTCGTTTGCTTCTCCTTTTAGTTTTGTCAGCCAACGCTGCATTTTGTGGTGAACTTGTCAAGTCTTTGCCAGGCTTTGACGGCCAATTACCGTTCAAACTTTAAACTGGGTATGCCATTTCACTACTCTGCTTTCTTATTAAAGTACTCTTGTGTTTTTGAGTGTTGTTGATTATTGTTTGTTCTTTGGGTATTTCAGATACGTGAGTGTGAATGATTCCGAGCTATTCTACTATTTCATTGAGTCCCAAGGAGATCCTGAAACAGATCCATTCTTCTTCTGGTTTAGTGGAGGCCCTGGTTGCTCTTCCTTCAATGGACTCGCTTATGAAATTGGTTCCTTTCCTCTATCGATCTCTTTTTAATTATTTCTCATTCTTATTTTCTTAATTTCCATGAACAAAGCTTACATATTGTGTGCAGGTCCAATACAGTTTGATATTGACAACTACAATGGCGGGTTACCAAGATTACTCTATTGCCTGTATACTTGGACCGAGGTCATTCCCTTCATTCCCATGTCCCTCCATTTTCAAAAATATTCATATAAATTATATAACCTTTTTTTCACCAAACTATATCCAATATGTTTGATGGTCTGAATTAATTAGATTTAATATTTTTATTTTATTAAAATGATTTTAGAATTTAGTTTGAATAAATGTACTCCCTTATATTATTACATTTCTTTTAAGTTATTTTAGAATATTAGCATTTATTTATTAGGAATTATAGAATATTTTGCTTTTAATGTTTGGATTTTTATGTTTACAGTTGTTTATAAATAGTGCCTAACACATTTACTTTTTACACACATTTTAAATTAATAAGAATTGATATTGTTTTGCTTTAGCGATGAGTTTTTCCCTTCTCTATATTATTTTCCCTCTCGTTCTATCTCTTCTCTATTCTTTAATTTGTCACTTTTCCCATTCCCATGTTCTGCATGAATGTGACCTTTTTGTGTATTTTAGCATCAACCGACACCTTCTAACAATAAGTATTACATATAGCTAGTTTTGTCTTTGTGGACTCACCAATGGATGTTGGCTTTTTTTATTCAACATTGTCAGATTGGAGAAGTTCTGACACTTTATCAGCAGAACAAGCTCATCAATTTGTGAGAAAGGTTGGTCCCAAATTACTTATCAACTCATGAGAAAGTCAACTTCACGCAATATTTGATGAGA